TGCTCTAATAAAATTTATCAAGAGTGTAGCCACATGTGTTTTCTCTTCCAAATTTCTTAATTCAAACCTCCTATAAGCAGAAAATAGAAGACAGAGACTTAAAAGAGAATTAAAATTATATTAAAGCGGATTGAATAATGACATGAAAGAGATTCTAACCAATCAATAGCATTTTATGAGTTTGTGTGTGTGTGTGTGTTGATTGTGAGCAACAATTTCATTAAATTCATGGATCAAGTACCCATATTAAACAATGGAAGTATTAAGACACATGAGTCTGCAATATTTTCTGTGAAATAATTTCCTAGATAATCTATAGTAGATTTTAAAAAAGGAGCTCTTCAATAGCTAATCTCCCCTATCAAAATGGTTTTCTTCCTAATTGACTTATTTTTGATAGTATTCCTTTCGTGGCAAGTTTGATTAATCAAAGTCACACTGCAGGTGTTAGGAGGGGAAAATTAACAAGTCTCAAAATTAATTTCTCAAAAGCCTTTGATCAAATTTCTTAAAGGTTGCTATGTTGAAAATGCAATATAATTTTTAAGGTAATGTGTTCAACTCATTATCCAATGTATATATACTTAGAGCCAATGATAAGCATAGGTCAAGCTTATTAAGATGAGATTTAAAATATCCAAACATATAAAAAAACTCATATAATTAAGCTCAGGCTAATACTCTTGGGCTTCGAGCTTATTCAATTAGTCAAGCTAGAATACCCAATTTTTTTCATTAAAAACAAATTTTAATTTTTACATTTAATTAATTATTTTTATTATTATAAAAAAATAGAAATATACTTTTTGTAATACTTAGAAGATGTAGAAGACTCAATTGTTTTTTAAAAAAATTGTGGGTCTTAATGTTTAAAAATCAAAGTTAAAATACATTTTAAATATTATTTTAAAGATAAATTCATCTACTGGTCAAAAAAAATCTTATACTCAAAAAATATGGACTAAATTTTTAAAAATTTAGGAGTATGGCAAGTTTACATTGATATACAATAATTTTATCATTAAAAATTTAAAAATTTATAAAAGGATTTATCATTTATATATAACAATATATCATTAACAAATATAATAAACCGTCCATAATGCAAAATATAAAAAATATTTAGTTATTTGCTTAATTTGGTCATATAACATATGTTATATTTACAAAAGCCCCTTATTTTAATATATTTTATATTTTAAAAATAATACTATAACAATATTAATATTTTTTAAGTTTTTAAGAAAAAAATATATAAAAACGTACTTAAATATGTGGTTTCTTAGCATAAAAAAAAGTTCAAAATTAAAGGATTAATTAAAATTTCATTTATTTTATATATTTTTTTAAAATAAATGCTATTTGAGTATTCATGCCAAATTCTTACTTGATATCCTAATCAGACTTAGCGTAAATTATTTTGAGCATGTTAAACAAGCTTGAATATTAAAAATAGATCATTTTGCCAACTCTAAATTTTTCAAACTTATTTAAGTTTGAATGAAATTATCAACTTTAAATTATTTTGTCCTCATTCGTTGCGGCTTTATCCTCCTTTTTTTCACTTGGCAAGGTCTAAGAAAAGATGGCCCGCTTTTTTCATATTTATGTATGGGGGAAATCACATTGCATGTCTTAAAACAATAAAAAATTACACTACAAGTTAAGGGTTTTGTTTTGCAATTTTTGGAGTGAAAGTACAATTTTATTCTTAATGATTTAAAAATTTAAATTATGTATAACATAATATTTATAAATACATAACACAATATTTATAAATTATTAACACAATATTTATATATGTCTAATTGATTAATAAATTTAATAAAATATGTAAATAATACAAATAATATATAATATAATATTCATAAATATATGAAATGATATTCATATATTTTTAACTAAATGTCCATTTGTGGCTGTCGTATTTAAAATAGGTAAGATGCTTTAACAAGCCTTTAAAGCTTAAATTAACCTTGATTTGATATGGAGTTTCTATTTTTGAATATCGATGTCATGTCTTCTATATTGATAGTATTTTCCCATTTTAGTGGTTCCATTTTTTGCATGTGCCAGCTGTCCATTTTCTCGGAATACCCAACTACCGTAAGCGTTAAGATTCCTTTTTTTTAAAAAAAAAATCATTTTCCAACTAAGTGGAATGTGAGAGTAGGGGTGTTCATGGAACCTGGTTGCCCGACATGCCCGCCCAAACCCTGTGAAATTTTGCCGAGCCCAGCCCGAAAAAAATAGCCCAACATAATTTGGGCATTTTTGGGCTGGGCTGATTTTCGGGTAGGGCTAGGCAATGGGCAAGGTATGCTTCCCTGCCCGTTTAGCCCAGCCCGAAACACATGTTTGTAATTTTTTTTTAACTTTTGACGTGCAGATAGCCAGATATGAGGATCTGCATCTGCCCAGCAAGAACAGCCAAGGACCAACTTGAACTGACTAAGGAGGACAAAAAGACAAGCCCAGCTAGCAGCCCACATAGCCTCACGCCCTTACCTCTTACTCTCTAACCCTAGCAGAGTAGCAGTTTAAGTCTCCTCCACTTGCCTTGCCAGAGTCTAGACCAGAGTCCCGTCATCGTCCCTAGCAATCTCCTTCAGCGAAGCATCTCAGTCTCACTGTCTCAGCATCAGCATCCAGCGAGAGCGACTCAGCGTCCCACAACCACAAGCCGCAAGCTCTAATCCAATCTCAATCTCCAATCTTTATTCTCTACTATCATCTCTCGTCGTCATCGTGTCGAGTGCCTCTCACAACAACGAGCCGCAAGCTCCAATCCACCGTTAGCCTTTGCTTGCCATTGTTCTCCTCTCACACACAAGTTTAACTTTTCCTGCCTTATTCCCTTTATAGAAAAGATCTTTCTATGGATATTTTTTTACTGCGATGCTATGCTGTAGTATATTTTTCAATCTAACATCTGAAATATCTTTGAAACTGTCTTCTCTCTCTTTCATACTATATCTAAGAGTTAAAAACTAAGAAAGAGCCTGGTTTTTTATATTCTGCAGGAGGGATCATTAACTGCAGATCAGCTCATGGAACGCATAGAAGCCGGTCTCAAAGTTAAGCAATAACCCTAGGTAACCGGCATTTATACCTAATATTTAGACACCAGTTTTACAGAAATCAGAATTACTCACCTCCATGGTCCTTACTCTATTACTCATCTAACCTTTTTCTTTTTTTCTTTTCTTTTCTTTTTGTTTTAGGATAGAGGGCTCTAATGCAGTATTTTAAAAAAAATTGGGACTTGATTGTTGTAACGTATATTATTACAAGTACAGAACTTGAGAACTAGTCTCAATTTTTTGGCATGGTACTATACTTTTGCTTAAATAGTGGCTCAGAAAATTCTCGAGGAAAATGAAAGCAGAACCACACTGTAGCTCTAAGAGGTTGCTGGTCTCTCCCACAAGTCTGTAATAGTAAAAACCGTTGCACCCCTCCGACTGCCAAAGACCTCACTAAAAGCAACACGCATCTATTTTCTCCTCCTAATAGGCATCAATGTTGGTTGATGTGTGTTTTTCAATTCTGTCTGTGCTGTTCGTGTGTACTGTTTACTTGTTCTGCTGTTCACTCATCTCTGTCTCCACTCTTAAATCTTGATCAGTTCTCATCTGCCCAGGTTTTTCAATTTGTTCTTCTTTATTCTTTTAATACATTTTCATAGTAGTCTATTTGATTTGATTTGTTTCTGTCTCGAAAAAAATGCTCTGTTGATGAAAATTCTGATACGAGACAATTCTGGAAAAAATGCTCTGTTGATGAATATGTTATAATGTATTAATGTTACTTACATAATACATTACACACACTTTATCTGATTGGCTATTGTAAAATGAGGGGGGTTATTTATCTGATTGCTATATGATTTGATAAATGAATTTTATTCCAAAATGACTCTTCTGCATCTCTGTTAATGTTATGTGTATTTCTTTGTGATTGTTATATGATTGGTCATTGGATAATAAGCTTGATTTTGTCTTTTTATGAAATTTATGGTTCTGTTTCTGTAATTTTGTTATGCTAGCATGGAGGATCAAGCTTCAGTTGCATCACCCTCTGGGACATCTCAAACACCAACCCCTACTGGACATTCCCATTCATCAACCCCTACCGGACCTACACAAACCCCAACTCATACTCCTCCTACACAAATAGCAACCCCTCCCCCTCAATCTGTCCCTCCCCCTGGACCTCCTTCTCTTCCCCTTCATGCTCCTCCCACCCAAACACCCACAGAACATGTCACACAAGTGACAAATACTGAGAGAAGGGGTCGAAGGAAAGAAAAGGAACCCAAACATACATCAGAGGTGTGGGATTACTTTGTTAGGTTGCCTATAGAAGAAACTAATGGGGAGCATAGAGCAGCATGCAAGTATTGTCACACGACTTATGCTTCTGATCCATCACACCATGGGACACATTCTTTGTTAAGGCACATCCCAAAGTGTCCAAAGAACCCTCACAAGGCCACTAAAGATAAGAAACAAGCAATGATAAATCTGTTATTTGGTGGGACAAGTGGGCAAGAAAAATCTTTAGTCACTCACTTATATGATAAGAAAAGGTGTAGAAGAGCTCTTGCTGAATTTATTATTTGTGATGAGCAATCATTCAGAATTGTTGAGAAGCCTGCATTTAAGAAGTTGTTAAATGAGTTTGAACCTCGCTTTCCAATCCCTTCAAGAACAATAATTGCGAGGTATGTGTGGCAGCTATATCTTGGTGAAGTAAAAGTGCTAAAGAAGATCTTGAAGCAATGTTCTAAGCGTGTTTGTCTCACGACAGATTGCTGGACATCAAACTAAAATTTCAATTACTTGTGTTTGACGGCACATTTTATTGACAATGAATGGAAGCTTCACAAAAGGATCCTAAGTTTTGTTATGATTGAAAATCATAAAGGTGAGACTATAGGGAAGACCATTGAGCAATGCTTGTTGGATTGGGGTATTGATAATGTGTTTAGCATAACTATGGATAATACTTCATCTAATGACACGGCTTTGGGATATCTTAAAAGGAGGTTGAGAAGTTGGAAGGGCTTAATTTGTGGAGGAGACTATCTACAATTAAGATGTTGTGGACATGTTCTTAATTTGGTGGTCAATGAAGGCATCAAACACATGAAAGATAGTTTTGAAGCCATTCAAAGTGCTGTGAGATATGTTCGGTCTTCTCCTTCACGGTTTCTAAAGTTTAAAAATTGGGTTGAATCTGAAAAAAAAACTAAGAGCCTTGTCTGCCTTGATGTTAGCACTCGATGGAATTCAACATATTTGATGTTACAAGCTGCAATGAAGTTTCAAAAGGTGTTTGAGCGGATGCGTGATGAAGATGATGACTATATTGCATTCTTTAACTCTAAGCAAGAGGAAGGTGTTTTCTCTGGCCCTATTCTTGATGATTGGAAAAATGCTAAAGTCTTCATCAAATTCTTAAAGATCTTTTATGACATAACTTTGAAATTTTCAAGCTCCCTTATTGTAACATCAAATGATTGTTTTCATCAAATTGCTCGTGTTCAGAAAATGTTGCAGAAGCATATTGGAAATAGTGGTAATACTTTTTTGGCAGATATGAGCTTTAAGATGTATATGAAGTTTGATAAGTATTGGGGTCAGGCAGATAATATGAATCCATTATTGATTGTGGCTGTGATTTTAGATCCTCGGTACAAATTAGTTTATGCAAATCACATGTTTGAACTCCTTTTCAGTAACCCTGAAGAATGTGCATTGATGATGGATAAGGTCAAAACTTGTTTGTATCGATTGTTTGATGAGTATTCTGTTGGGATTTCTACTGAATCAGGGCCTACCTATGTTAGTAATGCATCTACAAGTTCATTGCCCTCTCTTGATGATGATGATGATGACGACATTAAGGATCCAGGGGCAATGTGGTTAGAGTCTTTAAAGAAAAGAACTTCAATGGATCCACAAAGTGAGCTAGATAGATATCTTGCAACTGATTCTAGAGCTGAAATCTCATCATCTGATTCTGAGTTTGACATATTATCATGGTGGAAAGCAAATTCTGAAAAATATAAAATTCTCTCCCACATGGCACGAGATGTATTGGCTATGCCAGTTTCTACAGTGGCTTCTGAGTCTGCATTTAGTACTGGTGGACGTGTAGTTGATCAATATAGGAGTTCTTTATCTCCTAAAATGATAGAAGCATTGATTTATGGGCAAAATTGGCTACAAAGTGGGCAATCGCTATCTGAGTTGGTTAATAAGCTCCATGAGTTTGATAACTTTAATGAGATAGAAAATATTATTCTGCTTACAAGTAACAATTTTTTTTCTAAAGTTTACACATGCACACATACACCCTTTATTTTAGCTTTTATATTAATGTAATTTTTTTTGTCTTTAGATGTAACACTTGGAGGGGAGAATGCGACTGCTAGTGTTGATTGAAGTGATTCTTTACAAGTATATCTTGACCCTTTATTAACTCTAAAAAATTAAATAGCAAGTGTGTAAATTTGGTTAAATTGGATGAAGTGGACACTAGTTATAGGTCCCTTATGCATGCATGCCCCCTGTTGGCCCCCTTTATTCTGCTTTGCTATTTACCAAAGTTATGCTTCGACTACTGCAGATTCCATTTCTTTTGACCCCTTTTATCTAGAGGAGGGTAGATCTGATACATTCTAGAGCAAATGTTGGCTTGCATGTGAGTTTCCTTTTACTCCATTCAAGATTTACTATGCATTTTCCTTGAATAAGGATTTTAATATGTTTAGTTATGACATATTTTTCCTCTTCCATTCATATAGGTTGGGAGTTAGGAAGAAGTCTTTTATTAATTGGAGTCTACTCTTTTAAATTACTGTTTCTCATATGATGCTCCAAGCTTTTGTGAAATTTGTTGTTTTTAATGATCATAACTGTTATTTTGGATTCAATTATGGATAATTTGATATTGTGCCAAGACTTATTTTCAAGTAGGGTGTTGAATTATGGATAATTAGATATTGTGACTGTCATTATTATTGTGGATTTATGGATGCTATTTTGAGTTGATGCATAAGACTATTATTGATTTGTGAAAGTTTATTTCAAAATGATAAAAAGATTTGTGAATTTAAAGGGCAGGGCGATTATTTGATGGGCCGGGCAAAGCTGCCCAGTCAGCCCAGCCCAGCCCAAACTAATAGGGCATTTTGTGGGCAGGGCTGGGCTTTGGGCTGTATTTTACAGCCCATTCATTCTTCGGGCTGGGCATTGGGCAGGTTCTTGCCCAGCCCAGCCCTGCCCATGTGCACCCCTATGTAAGAGTACCACTCCTATGGGACAATAAACTAATAGTAATTAAATTAATAGAAAAGCCTCAATAGTTTAAATAAGGTTAAAGATTTTATTACCAACAAAACAAAATAAGGTTAAATATTTCAACCTTGTTAATGGAAATAAATTATATGAAAAATGCTATTGTTTGAAAGGAAAATTAATTTGAGGAAATGAGAAAGGATTTCAACCTGACTTAATGATATAAAATATTATTAGTTCCTAACTTTCAAGGAATAATTTTATCCATTATAATTTTATTTTTTAAAATATAAAAATCAATATTAAAAATTGTTAAGGCTATTGGAATTGAGGTAACGTGAGTCAAAGTTTAGTAACTAAACCTTAATAAAATCAAAATTATAATGAATTGTATTAAGTCAAAGTTTAGTAACTCAACCTCAATAAAATCAAAATTATAATGAATTATATTAAATTAAAGTTGAGAGATTAGATTTTAATTGAGCAAAATTATAGAAGTCAAATGATTTTTCATAATATGATAATAAACATTTGAATATGAATTAATTTACACTCATTCCGTCCTAATTATAAAACACTTTTGGAAGAGATTTATCATCTCAAAATATAAAAAGTTTTGATAAAAATGAAGTTTCATTAATAATATTTTTTTAATATTATCATTCTCATTGTATCCTCTTTTTTTAATAGAGTATTAAATAAATAATATTTTTAAAATTTTATATATTTGTTTTAAAAAAATAAAGTTTTAAATTGTATTTAAAAAACTTCATTGATGCATGTAATTTTGTCCATAAATATCATACGAATTAGGGCGATGGAGTACTTCGTAATTTACTTTAGTGCTGGATTGGATATATTATAAAATATCAAGTTAAAAATATAGTAAAATACACTAACTTTTATTCTATTTTACTTTAAATACTAAAGCATCTTTTTAGTTTTTAAAAATTATATAAACATTCATAGAAATCAAAATCTACCTAACACATGCTTTCCTTCTATTATAAATAGGGTTAAGGGCTAATAATATCTCAAAAAAAATTTAAATAAGCATTGGCTATGTTTACCTTTTAGTTAGAGTAATCTTTTTTGAAAACTTTTAAAAGAGAGCAATTTCACCTCATCATTATATAAAAAATGTAAAGGTATTTAGTGCTCCTTTTAAAAAAAATTTGAGACATTTTTACCTCTTAACTCTAAAAAACCCTCAAACATTACCTAAACTGTAAACACCATTTTGCATTAAGGGATTATTTTATATATTTTTTCAGGCATATAATTATATTTCCAGGTTTTAATTAATTTACATTTCCAATAAATAAATAATTAGTAATATTTAAAATTATACATATTTTTAGATTTATTCTTTTAAAAATCTGTCTCAATTAAAAAGAATGATCAACAACACTCTTGATTGAAGTTATTTTTCAAAAAAAAAAAAGCTGCATCAATTACATTTAAAAATATTTAAAATGTATTATATACTTCTTTTTACATAAAAAATGCATTATAATTTTCAAAATAAAATATATTGACGTCCCTTCAAATTTGTTAAAATTACAGAAGTCTCACTTGTGTTTTTAAAACATACATTTGAATCCATTTCTTAACATTGTTAGAAACATTACATCTAATATTCTAAAATATTTTATTATATTAATTAAGATCTGTGAAAAAAATTAAAAATAATCAATCTATTGTCATAATCTTGCTCCTTCTTTCTTCTCTCTATTTTAAAGAATATTATGAACTTGTGGTAATATTTACAGAAACATTTTACAAAATATTAAAATTAATAAACATAAATTAGATTAAAATTTATAAAATAGATCTAAATTATATTAATTAATTCATGTTTCTTTATATTAAATTTTTTATTATTTCTAAAATATTTTTCCCTAATTTATTAAATTTTTAATTATGTTTGGAATATTATTTTCATTAACTTATATATTTTAAATTTAAAAATTATTGTGCAAATAATTTCGTTGGTTGTACCATCCTACTATATAAATAATTTTATTTATATTTAATCTTATTTTTTATAATTTATATTATAATTACTATTGAAAACTTATATGGTTCTTAAATATAATTTATTAAAAAGGTATTTTATTATTTTATTTAATTATTAATTAATAGTTGTGTGAATGAAAATAAATATTTAAAAATATTAAAAGAAAAGAATGTGTTGAATTTTTTTTTAAAAGCATGCGAAGTACTCTTATTTTTTAATTGAAATAATTTTATTTTAGAATTTTGAAAAAATAAAACAATTTTCCCTTGACACAAGTGAGACTGCTTGTTCATCATTATTTTAACTTTTTTTGAGCTACGTGGCAACCAGCTGGTATTTTTTAAGAAATTAAAAAAAGAATTCCATTGCACAGAGTAATAGAATCAACCAAATCCGAAGAAGATCGTTCCATTCCATTCTACTAATAACTTTCCGTTTTATTATATTCCCTGAAACTGAGCACGCGGAGGAAGGTACAGATCGGCTTCGTCGTCGTGTCAGTGCAGCCCAGCACAAGATTTAGATTCCTCTGTCTATTTATCCTCTGTTAGTTCAAAAGATACTCATTGGAGTGATCACCCTCAAGAATCATGTCGGCCACCGGTAATGCTATCCACCCCCATCCCAGGGGTACCTTCAGCAACGTTCCCGGTAACCGACGCAGCATCAAAGGGAAGATCTTTGCCGATATGTTCAACAGGGACAAGTCTGGCGATGCTGCCGGCGAGCTAGTAACGAAACCGGCGCTGGTCGTCCGTCGCCGGATTTGCTCTTACAGAGACGCAACCCCTTCCCGAACCAGAGTGAGAAGCAAAATTTTTGCCGCAATCTTCAAGTGGAACTCGTCCGGTGCACAGGCGGCGGGAGAAAACCGGATCTGGTGATATGTTCCGTTTTCCGAATGATTCCTTCGGTGATTTCCTCCTTCACTGTAGCGAATTTTTGGTCTATCTGTTCTAATTTCCAAAGGGAAGTCATGGACTAAGAATCTGTGATCTGTTGATGCGATTGTGTAATGTAATTCTAGCTAGGATTAGGATGCATTGAAATTCGTTTCAGTGATTTGATTCGGTGAGTTTGTGTTATTTGACGTAGTTAATGTGGAGTTTTTGTTTCTTCGATCATCATGCATATCCTAATTCAGGATTGGAAGATGATGAAAGAGTAGGTCTTTGCTGGTTTTTTTTTTTTTGGGTTAGTTTTGTTGACCTTTTGTATCTGTTGTTAGGTTTTTAATGGTATTCAGCTTCTATTTAAAAAAAAAAAAAAGGTGTGATATACTTCCATGTGTAGCCGAATGCCGGATTCAAAACTCAATCTTAGTTCTTACAAAACCCTACGAAATTGTCTGTATTATTCCATTATTTTATTGTAGTTTTGCTAGCCTTTGATTTTTCTCGTTGCAGGCCCGAGGCACCTTTGAAATGGGATCATGTCAAAAAAAAAAGGAAATGTGATAGTGTCAGTTATGAAGGAAATGTAAATTCGAAAATTTGAAATCAATGGTATTGATATGCTAATCAATAATCATGCATGTTCCACATTTTTTCATTCAATTTGGGGAAAAATAAGATTGATTTTCCATTTCAATACTTTATTCACTTTGCAAACAGATAAAAATAACAAATTTTGAATAAACTGGTCATATTGCAATGAAGAAATTTATATATATATTTTTAGAATAGCTTACCCTGCTTTGATGAGTTGAATTGAAAAATTAGGTAACTATAAAGATTAAATGAGCTAACTTAACTCAACAAAAAAAAAAAAGTTTAAACAAAGATATAAATAATATATATCCTCCAGTATTTGACTTTATAACGTCTATAAAAAGGGATTGGGTAAAAAGGGATTGGTCCAAAATTTATCATTAACATTTATAGATTCCATGAAAATGATTTATGGAAAACAAAATGTTATGTAAATTAAATTAACAACACTAAACCAAGCATAATGATTTAAAATTCTGTTTATATTTTTCAATATACGCGAGTGTGACAAAACAGGGCTATACATGTTATTTTAGACAGGTCGAATGACATGTGAGGACTTTCAAAATATGGATATGATAAATACGTATCATAAAATTAAAATATGAAGGAAGTGACTACTTCTATGTACTTTC